TGAGCTTACTTTTCTGCACTTCCGGATATGCACTACATACCAATTTTTCTTCTGTTTTATTTATCTATTTCATTCGACTGAATCACATTAAAAGAAATGTTCATTTCCTACTTAATGGTTTAAAAAAATCAAATCCCTTACAGGCCTGAATTTTTTTCAGGCCTTATTTTCACTACTGCTCGAGTAGTGTTCATTACTGCGAAGATCGCTTTAATATTCATGTCTATTGGCAGTTCAAATATATGACTTTCCTATATCCACAGTCGTTAGTTATTTTTATTGTTGTCGCTTGATAGGGCGTTCAGAACCTTGCCAATGCACTATTTTGGAGGGTAACATGAATGGCTTTATACCCGTTGATTGTAAAGGAAAACGTGCACTCAGTTCCACCGAACATACCAGAAACTACATTAAAACTGTAAGTGTTTTAAGTCGCCACACCGAAAGTGCTTCCGAAAAAGTGTATTCTCTTGACGCAATACTTGTAAAGAATAAAAGCACAACTTAAAATTTATAAAAATCTCTGGCTTAAAGTGTCACTTCGTGTTAATATCACTGAGTCGATAACTATAATGAATGATGAATGAAAAATTGGGGATTGCCAATTTTGCTACTTGAGTGATCAATTGTTATCGATTTTTAAAGTTCGTTATCGGTGGTCGCAAAATTTTAACTAGGCATGCAAATGCGACACGCAGCTCCAAAGCCGGTGTGTCATCTCACTAGCGTGTCCATACGTTCACCTTATTCCCTGTTTACGACGGAGGGTCACATATTGAGAGGATCTAATGTCAGAAGAACTAAGGTTACGGTAACTTAGAGAACTGTACAGTTTTGGAACACGATATTACAAGAATTTATTTGATTTGAACTTGCGGACGTAATTGCCCTGGATTAGGGGCCATCGCATGTACGAAACTCTTTTTGTTTTTTATTGATCTCTTGTTTTATTTATTTTTTTCCAGTAAGTTAGCAATGTAAGAATTCCCTTTCAAAATAAGGATAAACGTTTTTAGTATCCAGCGAATCTCACGTAACCTCGTTAAGTGTTTTTTTTCTATTTTACGACTTATTGGTCATAAGGAATGGTCCATAAATCATTCCCAGATCCGGTTACATGTCGCAATTAAACAATTGAGAGATATGATTTATTATCAGGAAAACATTGAGTACAATCAAATTTTCCATGGATTACTGATTCTTTGAAGCAAAATCTTTTTAGATGATGTCATGAGTTCTGTCAGGGTATCTAGCGTGTAAAAACCATGCTCTTAAAATCCACTAGTGCATAAAGAAAAAGAATGTTCATTGATGGTAAATCATTACCAAAAGACCGACACACAACAAAAACCGAGTCAGGCTCGAAATTTTTGACATATTTTTAAATCTGTCTCACGCAGAATGAGCATACTAGTTTTCTTGTGGCTCCCGTGACCTCACGTCCATGACTCCCTTCGTCCACAAGAGGGTAGTGCGCACTTTCTCTAGGCAGTGTAGCTTTTGTTGATAGCTGCTATCTTGATGGAAAGGCAACTCTTGCTAGATGTTGCCTTTACTGTTATGAAGTATCATTTTGGTTTTTAGGCTCTACCTGACACATTCCCTCATTTAATTTGCAGTGCAAATGAAATGAGGGAAGTTTACCCTTCTGTTATTTAAGCGTATCTGGCACTTTCTGGTTCCACTTACTATTCCCTTTATTTTGCTATGTATTGCTCTTCACATCTCTTTTCTTTTTCTTCCTCAGATGTGTTTGCTCAGGTTCTTATCGAAATCAGGCAACACCGGGAGTCAGCTTCTTGCGGGGTCTGGCGGACAGGTTCAAAATTACGGTCCTTTCTTCAGAGGCGTGCATACAGCAATACCCTTCAGTGGCACCGTGCGTGCCACAAGTGATAACAAGTTCGCGGTCTGTAAGCGTAAAGGAAATAGTTTTCCCGCTGATTATTTTCACGAAGCTCTTTATTTACAGTATCTTGTGGAGCAGTTCCAGTCTCATAGCGCGATTGACTTCGCCTTTAACGGCATCAAATGGTACCATGTTATGGTTAATGTCCTATTTCCGACTGACAACCCTGAAGTCGACGCTTTCAGCTGAGAAAATTCTTTGCACTGCTACTGTCAATCATAAGGAACATATTTCCTCAGATATGATCTATAGAATTTTTAGCCATTCTAACTTGGATTAACCCCGTGGATTTGCAGATACTTTTTTGTTGGCTTTTGTTGTTTTGATGATATTTCTCGAGTAAGAAGGAGTTGCAGAATATTTCAGTGTTTTCCGAGGAGGGGGGGGGGGGGGGCAACGGCCGTCTAAGCGAATTTCGCTCTTTCCGATTTTCCGGAAAAGTGTAAATAAATCTCCAAATTCGCTACTGTCGTCGGATTCTCGATGCTTATGGGCAGAGGCCCATAAGTCATCATGCAGAAAATTTTGACAATTAATTGCTCTCTCTCCTCATACCCAAACGTATTCTTCCCGTACGGTATTGAAAAGCAATTATCCTATTTTGGGCTTATTGAACATATCCTTCATATATATCATTCATTTACTCATTACCTGTTTGCTGAAGAATGTATGGATATTGTAAGGAGAAGTTTTATGTCAATCACTTCTGGGAGTTAAAGGGTTAAGCCATTTATTGCAGTGTCGATTCCGTAAAACCAAAACAACACACAATCTTTCAGAAGGAATAAAACTGACCAAACCGGAACCAAAACCAGTAGAGAGCGAGATAAACTACTTTTTAGTTACTGTAGTCTTGAAGAGTCATAACAGAGCTAACCACGGATGGACTTATTCAGAAACGGATATTTCACATGGGGGTAAGCGACTGAATTTATGCTATGATGCTTTTCATAACAATACAATGTGCGATGTGCTGTCATAAGTCGGAATAAAACCGGTCAGGCTCCATAAATAAACAATGGCCTCTATTTTGCGCAAAAATATGTACGGATATCTGTTTGTGGACGTTATTTGTGCCAAACAGTTTTCCGAGAGCGAAGTTCGAAGAAAATATAAGCTTCGAGAAACAGGTAATGTCCAAGGACAGATACATAAGCATATTTTCGCACAAAATGGAGGTTCTTGCGTCTATTATCCTTCAAATGTTTCTGCAACTGGTGCGCGGGAAAAAAATGTTGCCGAAAAGCTCACCGTTTCCTGCGCGAGATGTTCACTTTTCAGTGTTCTCTGGTACAACTTTCTAAGTAAAAAAAGAGCGGTTTTTTTTTTCTGTAACAACCGTAACACGCTTTCTCATCTTGAATTAAATATTAAGAGAAAACTTCCTCCGGGACTTGAGTTATGAAAACTCCGGAATATCACCTGGGGTACAACCTCGCCAGTTTTAGCTGAGCATATTCAGCGTTGGGACCAATCGCGCACGAATAAAATTATTTGATGGATTTTAAGTTTAATTAAAAAGTCTAAATTAGTAAGCTTTAAACTCACAAATGATTTCCGTGGCAAAAGCCCCTATGCAAATAATTAACGTTAAGCTCATGGTGCCCAAGCAAAAGAGATGTGAAATAAATCAATGTATGATTTTTCCCACTGATACGCTTTAAATCGGTGAACGACAAATAATAAGCTTAACAACTACGAAATATTTATCAAGTGATGCAAGGTGAAAACATTTGTGAAGAAACCAGCGGGCTATTTCGAGTTATCAGCTACCACGAAAAGTAGGCTGAAACCATTTTGGGACTTGCTAAAACACATTTGGTGATAATAAAAAATCTTAATTGATTTTTTTTCAATCACTTTGGGTAAATATTAGGATTTGGGCCGAGCTTAAGGCAAATCCAGTTGATTAGGCGACGAAAAGCCCTCTTGGAATCTGTCCTTTATGGTGCAATTGTGAAAGTGTGTTCTGAGACGTCATGCGTAAGAGGTGCTTAAAGTACTTACTCTTTTAAGTTTAAAGTTCGATACTTTTTACGGCAGATCATAGTCAAAACAGCAGTGGAAATAAAGAGGTAATCTCAACTAGATATGGTTGATTTACATGTCTTCAAACTCAGATGTGGTGAAATTCTCCTGGGCCGGTTTTAGAAACGTGTACAAACTCATAAACCTATTTCTAATGTTCATTTTAAAGTTTTCGGATCAATATCAGTATCTGGGTAACTGCCCACCTACCCCTCCCCTAACCCAACATTAACCTTGAGTTGTTGTCAATTGACAACAACTCAAGGTTAATGTTGGGTTAGGGGAGGGGTAGGTGGGCAGTTGCCCAGATACTGATACTGATCCAAGATTTCTATGTATCCTGTCATTTTGATTTTAAATTCTTGGTTTTGCTGAACGTTTCATTGAAAGCGGTCAACATTATATACATTATAGTATTTACGTTATTAAATGACTAACTTCCAGGATAATATTCACTGACATTATAACAATATTGAAATATTGCTGATAGCATTTTCGGAAATGTCTGATTGTTTCTCGTTATGTATGAAATGATATTACAAGGCATCAAAAGCATTCGATTTTGGTTGGGTTGATATGTCATTAGACTATGTTCTAATTACTGAGTAATTAACATCATTTTAAATATATTTTGAAATGTCAAACGATGTTATGTAATGTTTGAGAAGCAAAATGCGACTATAAGCAATTTGAAATTAGCAGAATTGAATTAAAGAATTCTTTTTGTATTTAAACTATAGTAAAAGTGAAAATTGTACGTTCACTCATGAACTCGGTAGATATTTAAACCACAAACGGTTGAGCGGCACACACATTTGATACAAAAAACTTGAAACTGAATTAGTTAGACAATTCGCTAAGGATTACATAGTTACAAATGGAAATACGTGAGAAAATGTCAAATGGAAACACATGCACACTGGAGAGGAGCAAGTCCATCAAAGCCCCCGAAAAAAAACAGTTCTAATCCAACACACTGATGAAAGAGGTGCGGTTGATCTTCGTTACGTATATATTGACCTCACTCCTTCGGGTTTAATTTAAAAACCGGGGATCTGAAAAGATGGCCAACCAAGAAGGCGACACAGCGTATTTACCACTGGAGGTAAGTTTCATCATCAGTATTATCATTAACAGCATCGCCTGTCCCTTCACAGTTGTGCTCAACGCGCGGGTGATAATGGCCGTGAAAGAGAGACACCGACTTCGAACCAACAGCAACATTTTGCTGGCCTGTTTAGCCGTGACTGACTTATTCACTGGTCTTCTTGGCCAGCCATCGTTTATCCTCTGGAGGGTATTCCTATTCTTGGGTCTCAAGAGCAGTCGAACAGTGGGAAGTTTCCATTTCGATGCTCTGGCCGTTTTTGTAGTGGCGTCATACGTTCATCTGATGTTGGTTACGTTGGAGAGGCTCATAGCAATCAAATTTACGATGTTTTACTCAAAAATTGTAACTGGTCATAACATGAAGATGGCAGTGTCAGTAGCCTGGATCATTGCCTTTATGTGCGGGGTTTTCAATGTGTTAAAAATGTACCATGTGTTACTTCCTGTGGGAGGCCTCATCACTTTTTCATGTATCGTTTTTGTGGCCTTAGCTTATGCGATTTTGTATCATGAAACCCGTCGCCACCAAAGAAAAATAAAGGCACAGCTACTTCCCAAAGAAGAAGTGGAAAGATTTACCAAAGAGAACAAGGCGCTTAAAACGACTGTCTTAGTAATAGTTGCTGTTGTTGTCTGCGTTCTCCCTCTTTGTTTCTGTCAGATCACGATGTCTACAGGCCTTTATAATTATTGCCCCATCAACGTGTTAGTGCTACAAACATTTGTTATGTTTAACTCGCTTGTTAATCCACTAATTTACTGCTGGAGACAAAAAGAAATGCGAAAGTTCATATTTAGAATGCGAACCCAGGTTGTGCATCCAGTTATCCAGTGAAAGTGGGAAGGCGGAAACACAGAAAAACTGGTTAACTATTTATGAACACTTTTCTAGCGCATTTTCCATCCACTTGATGAACGAAATTATGAACGAAACTATGTTTTAAGGAAGATATATTTTAGGCTTATTTACTCCTTACCAAATCTGATTCTTGAAGACAGAAAGGCAGATGTCCTCGACAGGAGTGCAATTTGTTGAGCTTACTTTTCTGCACTTCTGGATATGCACTACATACCAATTTTTCTTCTGTTTTATTTATCTATTTCATTCGACTGAATCACATTAAAGGAAATGTTCATTTCCTACTTAATGGTTTAAAAAAATCAAATCCCTTACAGGCCTGAATTTTTTTCAGGCCTTATTTTCACTACTGCTCGAGTAGTGTTCATTACTGCGAAGATCGCTTTCATGTTCATGTCGCATTTGAAATATATGACTTTCCTATATCCACAGTCGTTAGTTATTTTTATTGTTGTCGCTTGATAGGGTGTTCAGAACCTTGCCAATGCACTATTTTGGAGGGTAACATGAATGGCTTTATACCCGTTGATTGTAAAGGAAAACGTGCACTCAGTTCCACCGAACATACCAGAAACTACATTAAAACTGTAAGTGTTTTAAGTCGCCACACTGAATGTGCTTCCGAAAAAGTGTATTCTCTTGAAGCAATACTTGTAAAGAATAAAAGCACAACTTAAAATTTATAAAAATCTCTGGCTTAAAGTGTCACTTCGTGTCAATATCACTGAGTCGATAACTATAATGAATGATGAATGAAAAATTGGGGATTGCCAATTTTGCTACTTGAGTGATCAATTGTTATCGATTTTTAAAGTTCGTTATCGGTGGTCGCAAAATTTTAACTAGGCATGCAAATGCGACACGCAGCTCCAAAGCCGGTGTGTCATCTCACTAGCGTGTCCATGCGTTCACCTTATTCCTTGTTTTCCATGGAGGGTCACATATTGAGAGGATCTAACGTCAGAAGAACTAAGTTTTACGGTAACTTCTTAGAGAACTGTACAGTTTTGGAAGACGATATTACAAGAATTTATTTGATTTGAACTTGCGGACGTAATTGCCCTGAATTAGGAGCCATCGCATGTACGAAACTCTTTTTGTTTTTTATTGATCTCTTGTTTTATTTATTTTTTTCCAGTAAGTTAGCAATGTAAGAATTCCCTTTCAAAATAAGGAGAAACGTTTTTAGTATCCAGCGAATCTCACGTAACCTCGTTAAGTGTTTTTTTTTTCTCTTTTACGACTAATTGGTCATAAGGAATGGTCCATAAATCATTCCCAGATCCGGTTACATGTCGCAAGCTGATGTATGGCAACCGTTTTTTATTAAACAATTGAGAGATATGATTTATTATCAGGAAAACATTGAGTACAATCAAATTTTCCATGGATCACTGATTCTTTGAAGCAATATCTTTTTAGATGATGTCATGAGTTCTGTCAGGGTATCTAGCGTGTAAAAACCATGCTCTTAAAATCCACTAGTGCATAAGGAAAAATAATGTTCATTGATGGTAAATCATTACCAAAAGACCGACACACAACAAAAACCGAGTCAGGCTTCATTCACCCCTCCCCTCTTCTGTACCATGATGGAGATTTCACTTTGTTTCATTTGTCTGAGAGTTAAGCATAATATATTCCTTGTTATATCAACGGATTGAAGTCTTGCAATAATTATGACCTTTATTTAAAGAGGATAAAAGTCAAAGCCGTCAGTTTCTAAAACAAGAATGGTCTAAAACGACCTAAAATAAGCTAAAATGAGCTAAAATGACCTTTTAGAGTGATTTCTGAACTGTTCTAAAATGACCTTGATATTTTGGCGTCGACAAAATCTGGATCGGAACAGATTGGATCGGATCACGGATCGGATCTGGGACTGAATCACGAATCAGATCACGGATCAGCTCAAGGATCGGGTCACGGATCAGATCACTGATCATGGATCTGATCATGTTAAATAAAATTTTGCGCTACATGGCAAAATAAAGTCTGCGTGACATAATAGAGCGTAGAAACCAATGAAAGTTTTTTTGCCCAAAAGCCCCATATAGTGCCACCATGGACGAAGGCAAGCGAGAGGTACGTATTATTTCATCAGTCAGTTAAGAAAAACATAACACAATCCACAGTTTCTTCTTAGAGTCCTTGAGCTTCTTCCGTTGCCTGTGTGTGAGGCACGTTGCAGCCATGGTTCGCAAATTGATCGACCTAAGTGTTCCACATTGCAAGGTCAAAGTCTCGGGCTACAGGTCTTTACGATAGTTAACCGGCAAGAAGTTATCAAATCACTCAAAGTCATTTCATTCCTCGAGTTTTCAGTGAAACAAGATTTCTGTACAGACTGTAAGTACCAAAACATATTGCAAACAAGAAGGGAGTCAGACTGAAACAGACTGAGTACTAAAACGTCCACTTATCTTATTTTTGCTACACATGTAACTGCATCATAATTATTATACTTTTGTTTTAATTATCATTATAATATCATTCCAATGATTATTATTATTTTTTCCGATTTGTTTGGAAAAACAAGTTGTCAATGACATAAAGCATGACAAAACTTTTCTATACCAAACAAGTCTTGTCATTAGATGCTTTCCCTTCGGAAAATATATCAGCAACTATGGAAATTTTCTTTCACACATTTCTACATGTAACAAACATTTAAGCACAATATGAAACAAAAAGTTGAAGTGGAAATGCAGATGTGACAGTATGACAGATCAATCAAAAATGTCAAGGCAGCAATTACAAAACTCTAATATAACTGACAGAGGTGGGACCAGCTTAAAACCACTTTAAAAAAATTATTCCTTAGTTTATATTACATGTAATAGTCCATTTTATAGCTGCATGCTTGGTTGCCAAGCCTTCGAACAGAAGTGAAACTAAGGGTGATGATACAAACCTTGCTGCTTTTCAAATGTAAATTACTTTAATTGTTATCATGCAAACTAGATACTGGCCTCTATCACAACCAGGTCACCTTCAGCCTTACTCCAAATCACCAGCTTGGCAACTAAGTACACAACTGTAAAATGGCCAACTGGTTATCTGTTCTGAATGCTATAGGTTTGTGGCCTGCATCAAACCCTGGGATAGTTAATACACAGCCGTGTTCCCTGGGCAGCAATAGGCTTGGTTCGTGACCATTACCACTGACTGTTGGCAAAGGCAGGACACTGAGCTGGCTGTGCTCTGTATAGATGAGCATGATGAACACACTGACTGACATTCTGACTGCATTGCTTCCATGTGTTTCTCTATGGCAACAATAATTTCACCAGCCCAAGCAAGTGCATCTGGTCTGTTAGAGGCACCTCTAACAACCTGTCAATGTTGAATGAGCAATGTAACTGTCAAAGGTAGAGTACACAGTACAGTATGATTGTGAACACCTGAGAAGTTTAACATTTATGTGCATGACCAATCACATCAGATATCAGGACACACATACAAACCACAATACCAAAAAACTCAAGGGGTGTGCAAAATGATTCCCTCATTAAATTTTGATATGGCCTCAAATTCTCCTTATGTTTTAAATAAACAAACCAATTTGGAAGGAGGATCTTGCAGTCTAACTGGAGTCACATAGGGCTTTTTTTCCAGACACCTCTTAAACTACAGTTTTAAAGGGTTTTTTTTGTACCAACAGATGGCCATCTTTTAGAACCACAGTACATATTGTATGTTTGAATGGCATAGACTAGGTATTTATAGCTATTTTTGTGAACAAAAAGTCAGTTTTACCTGAAGCAACTGGCAGACAGATTTGTAGAGAGCTGTTGACCTTCATGTTCAAACAAAATCACAGTTAATATAAGAACAGATTTATGAACTCAGTATTTGACTTCTTTTTTTGTTTTCCTCAGTCTCCAGATTCATTATACAATGTACATGTACATGTAGCTCAACTGACACCTTTTATTAAGACACAGGAGTGAAATTTTTAACCAAAAATTCTGAGTATTTCTGAAGACTACAGTATATAACAACTATACTGAGGATTTCTAGCAATACAAAATTACCAAAAGATGTTTTGAGGAAATCCAAGGTACCAAAAAGGTAATTCTTGTCTAATGAGTATAGCCAGCTTCTTCGAGATTTTCACTAGCTAATATTCGTGCCATAAACCAGAATTAGGAAAAAAAAATGTGGGAAAAGGTTTGAGTGCAAGCTTTTCTCATTGTTTTCAATCTTCTTAACATTCTTTTGAGTGCTCACAGATTTTAAAAGGAGGTTTTACATTGTGTCTGAGCACTTACACAATGTTCATACATGCACATGTATCTTGTCCAAATAGATTTTGTTATCAAAGCCCATTAATTAAATGGCAGTTAAGGTACTGACAGTAGTATTAAAATATTCATGTATTATAATACATCATCTCTCAAATGAGTTGTCAAGGGTTTTATATTTTGACCTTGAAAAACCCGTATGTTGTCATATTCTTACTTCTCTTCAATTTGCTTGGAGTCTGAAGGTATGTACATTGCTTTGACCAGCTCATCCACTCTGGAAGAGAAAAATTTTTCAGATTGCAAAACTGAACATCCTTTTGTAATATTTGCCAGTTTCCTTCTAGGCAACCATGCTTTACAAAGCAAAAATTCAGACGCTTGTCAACCACTCTAAAACCTGTAGGATTATGAAAGTTAGTAACCTAAAAAGAGAGTATTCAATAGTGACACAAACTTATTCAAAGTAGAGCAAAACAGGAATTATAAGGTAAGATTCACCAAATACCCTCCATATTGGGAAAACAGATTATCTGAAATATGCAACACTTAACAGCTCAGAGGTAAATGGCCAATGCATACACAATACCTTTGCACGTTTATGGTGTTTCGTGCATAATAAAACAAGCACCAAAGTGCATGTCTTATGCACGTTTCTGCTAATGTTATTCAATGCAGTCAGTTTTTTTTGCTTTGATCTGAACTGTTTTGCATGACTAAAGTTTCCTGTTTCAAATGTTAGGAGGTCCAGGCCATCAAGAAAAGTACAGGATGCTTTAACTGCACATCACCTTGGCCTAATTTTCTTTGCTGCAGTCACAATTTTATCCATTTCTGTTGGTGACTTGATTGTTCCACTGCTCTCCATTGTGTGGGCAACAAGCTGTTCTGTTAGTACATGACAGGACTTCAATAAGTCAATGCAGTGCGATATCAGGTGTCTGAAGCAATAAAAATTAGACAATCAAAAAATGAATTGAAAATAAGAGATTGTAATCCATGTAAGAGATAATATTCATAAAATTTACAAAAATTTAAGTGAGAATGATAATGATGAAAATCATTGATTTTTAGTAATGTTTTAATGAAAAATAACAAAAATGATGATAATTACAACAATAATGATAACGATGGTAATAACAGTGTGACTGTGTAACCTAAAACTTGTGCAACCAGCTAAACCAATCAGATAACTGTTTCTTCTGTTCATACAATGTAACACTTACTTATTGTGAGATTTTGTCAAGTAACCGACAATGACACATTAATTAATTTTCACCCTTATGTTTTCACATCACTCTGTTGAACTTACTCAGCATCGCCACTCCAATCTGGATCCAGAAACATTTCTGGCTTAAAATTGAAAAGTATGAATATCAGAAATGCCAAGACATTTAATTAATTATCGTAATTAATACAATCAAATAATACTGGGTCACCTACTGTCCTCTTATTTCTAATCCATTTTCTATTACCTAACCCTTTAACTCCAAAGATCTGATTGTTAATTCTCCCCTCTAGCTGCTACACATTTCCTTCTAAATTGGTTTGGAGAATTTGGTGTTAGATCAAGAAAAACAAATTTTATGTGATATGTTTAAGTATTCTCATTACCTGTTTGCTAGATAGTGTGTGGATATTATAGGGAGAAGTTACATCTCAATAACTTCTGGGAGTTAAAGGGTTCACCCCTTGAACTCCAAGAGTGACTAGCATCTAATTTATCCTTAACCCTTTAACTCCCGCAAGTGACCAAGACAAAATTTCTCCTTACAATATTAATACAGTATTCACCAGGTAAGTGATGAGAATAAAGAAAAATATCAATTTGGGAATAATTAGTTAATCCAATACTAAATTCTCTGAACTTACATTATAAGAATTGTATTGTCGACAGTAAGGAGAATTACAAATTTGATCTGGGAGTTAAAGGGCTAAAATATCACCCCTGAATCAAACAGTAAGGTCAAGAGAATATAGAAGACGATTACCAACTATAGAGGCTCTTGATTGCTAAACAAATTCTCCAAGTCAGCACCTTATGAAATGCATTGGGAACAGTATGGAGAATATGTATACTGATATTAAGGTGTAAAGGGTAAATATTCACCAGGTCATCCTGTGGAGAAAACCCATCCAAACCCAGTTCAGTATGAGATGTGTTCCATGCCGCCTGCACCAGCTCTGCATCCTGCTTCCTTGAAAAAGATAGAAAATAACTACTTAAATTATGACTCATTTTATTTCAAATGTCACATGAAAATTCAAGTTGATTATTACTTATTTCCTGAAGCATTTTTTACAAAAATCAACTGATCACTATTTGAATAAAGTTCTGCTTAATCTTTTCAGTAATCTTAATCACTAGCAAGGAGTACACTCCACTCCAGGTGTGGCAACAACCTGAGCTGTTTTAATCAATACTTCAAGATCTTCAATACCCCTAAAAGCATCACAGAATAATTTCAGCCATCTTGTTTCACTCTGCATCGTAGCAGTCTGAGTTATCCAGATGAGATTGATAAGAAAAGTTTAAATTGAGTGTTAAAAGCAATTTACATCTAGGATCATCTTAGTTTTGCTTTACTTCCCTCTGTGATTGGTCACAAAAATTTGCACCCTGCTGTCAACCAATCAGATGCAAAACTTACACCAATCACAACCAGGTCACTGATGTTTTCCTACACTTAACAAAGTTTATTTAAAGAGCGTCATCACCCTATGGACATTTTCTTTAATTTGCTTTCAATGACAGGCCATTGATATTACTGTGGGTCTGGGTTTGCAACAATCAATGGAAAATTGTTCTAAGAAGAGAAACAAGAACGTTGTACTAATCCAAATTCTACCTTGTATGAGTCGTATGAACAGGTGCGGTACATGCAGTAATACACACAGAGTACGTGTTTTGTGTGTGCGATGCAAGAGATTTCTGATGTGCGTGTGTGATGCAGAGGTACATACAAGTGGTACTGTACACGATTCTATGCTGCAACTGGACTACCGATCTTTTAATCATTACCTGGTGTTGAAGGGGAGAGGGGGATTCCCTTGTTTGTCCCAAGTGGGTTTATGTGCCAAGCAGGGTATCGTTTTTGAGATCTTGAGTCTTAAAACAGGGTGTGAAAAGTCCAATTTCATTACTAATCCTCTTGTACGGACGTTTTCGCAAATGATCTTGCTATCTAGGAATATGCTTTCACCCTCTGCGTCAAATCATTCCTCTGACTCATAAATTAAAGTTGCCAGTCATATATGAAAGTTTTGCGATAATTCCTGTATTTAGCCGAGGGTCTATTAAACATAAGCGTTAAACTATCAAAATTAGCAAAAGTAAGTAAAATTAATATCAGCACAATCAGGTGGAACACTGCATCTAACCTAATTCCTCTAGTCAACTGACAAACTACATATCACTCAAACTCACTGATATTGCTGTTGTGAAAATTCAGCTTTCCTGCAACGCCGTTTGGTACAAATAAGCAACAACAAAGCGAAAAGAGAAGCCGTGACAACTGTTCCCAGTAGGCTAACCGCAATGATCAAGGTCGGAGTCATAATGGCCGCGAGAGTGGAATCATTCACATTTCCCCTTCCTTACATAGTGTTTTGATTCGGATCTGTTCGTAACAGGCGCGAATATTGCCGCGAGTCCGAATACAAACAAGATCTTCTGGGGAAACCCGAATTATGTCCGACAAACTCTCGGAGAGCGTTTGTCTATTTTAATTGGACTATCTGAATCGAGAGCCTTTCGTAAACTTCCCTAGGGATTTACCTCCGAACTTGAAAAAAAAATCACTAAGCCAGGGTAGGGTCAGTTTTTTTCGGTATGGTTTAAGACGTTTTATGAGAAAATATTTTTGCTGTTATATTCTTAAACTTTAAATGATGTTTGAATTGTATTGAAAATTTGTCTCGGTTTTTAAGGAGAAAAAATAGCTGGATTTTGTAAAAGAGGGAAAAAGAATCGTATATTAATCTCGGAAGAGATAACTTCCCTCTACCCTCCCTACAAGGGGCTATTTAAGACCAGACAAGTGCAAACCCATTCAACCGACGTCTGAAATTACAATAGATGGTAAAACTTTTGCGGAGAAATAGCTGTTACTGAAAGCGAAGCTGACTCACGTGCCTTAGCTCAACATTTGCCCCAGCGAATTTTCAAGAAATATTTAATCATGGCGCCTAGCGAACGGGAGTCAATGGGATCGCCATTTGTTTTTATCCTCTCTGTGGGCGCGATTCAAATTTTCGGGATCTTGGCCATGGTTCTCACTGGCATATGGATGGGAAAATATCTCGGTGGATTTGCTTGGGATGGAACAGCTCACGAGTTTAACTATCATCCTCTATGTATGGTTATCAGTATGGTGTTTTTATACAGCGAAGGTAAGCTCAGAACGTTTTCGCGTTCGAAGTCTCACTACAGCCCTTTTACAATTACCTCCTAAACGCCCACTAAAAGTTGATGAGAATTATGTAATATTTCACTCTCAAAAATGCTGCTCAGAAGCTAATACTTTTTACTTTAATATCTGTTGAATTCTTTTTTATTTTTAGCTGTGTCGTTATCTGAATTTGTTTCGTGAATATTTAATGTCATTTTCAAAAGGCCAGCAGCTGAAATCTTAAACGCCCCAAAGGATGCTGCGATGGCTCCGCTTAATCTTATCATCATAGTGTTGACGGGTAGATGGTGATCCACAGAATTAAAAGAATAGGATTAAAGTAAATAATAGCATTTAAAATTTGAAATGTTCTGAATTTGAGATTGCTCCTTGTACAATGTACATGTATCTACGTTTTCATTATCACACTAACTTACTTTACTCAAAATAAGAAGTACGAGTTGCAATCGTTAAATATGCACGGGTATCCAACCAAAACAAACGCAATCAAGGATGTTATACACCTATTTTCTAGAATCTATAACACGGAGAGAAATCAAAACTTTCACAATTTCTTTAATTGCTGCTGGTACGAAATGGGGCGGCTGTCATATCACTTCCCGCAGATGCCAGCAAGACTTAATTCAATTTTATTTTCGCCTGATACTCGGTTACCCATCTGCAGCAAAGGCATTCACTGTGTTTCTTAGCTACAGTGCATGTTCTTGAAAGATTGATGAGAACTATGGTGAAGTTTGTTATAAAGGGTTACCGTGCTGCTTGTCAGATGTTTGGTTTACAACCTATAGAATCTAATTTGCCTTTACTTTCACACAGTACATCAGTACATAAAAAATGTTTTGTCATTTAGCAGTAAAGTGACGCGTGCCATTGTAGCTGCAGCTGGGTTTTCTTAAAGTATCAACGTTTATAGTAAAATGTGGCCACATGTTGCAGAATTCTCTAGTTTAAATAAAACTCTTTCCACCTGAACAGTAGTATTCATATTGTTCACACTGTTTTTTTTTCTTATGATACCAAAAAGGAGAATTTGTTCGCTAATCAGCAGCTCCTAAAATCGGTGATCATTTTCTTTATTCTTGTGATCTTTAAATTTGATTCAGTGGTGATGCATTCAGGAGAAATCATAGAAGCCAGTCTCCTTTAGGGGTTAGTTTTTCACAATTATCTTCTACCATTAAATTTTTTAATGAAAACCATGGTGAAGTTTTGTTAATAAAGGTCACATGCTTGTCAGGTGTTTGGTTTACAACTGACCACTTGTAATTTCTCCTTACATTTTTACCCTGCTGAATCACACATTTAGGTCACGAGAATAAAGGAAATGACCTTCATATAAAAAAGCTATTTATTGTTAAACAAATTCTCCATGTTAGTACCTTAAGAAATCCAGAGAGAACTGTATGGAGAATATTCCTACTGATGTTAGGGTGTAAAGGGTTGAAATAAACCAGAGAATAATGGCACAGCAGCAAGATGGATGCACATGCTTGTAACACACAAGAAATTTTATGCACGCAAAAGAATGGGAACTACAATATTTCTGTAGTAACACTATGGAGGCAAATGGCTGCATTTTTAAAATTCTCATTGCTTGTTTTCATTTCATGGGGATAAGCCCAAATCAAAACAGATAAGGTTGCCATTTTCAGGAAAGTTTTTGTCAAACCTCTTCTGTCACATATCTCACTCAACAAAAAAAAAATGCATTAAGGGGTAGAGCATCTGTATCATGGCAATGTTGGTCATGGCACCTGTTATCATTTAAGCTCTTTTTGTCCTTTCCTACTCAGTGGGCAAACCCCCTGGAAAAAAAAGTTTGTTGTCTCAGTGAAAAACAGCACACATCAGTTTTGTTTCCAGAGAAATAAAGATGGCAACTCTGAATACTCAATTGGCTCAAGTAGCTGTTAGCATGCACACTCATTTAGCTGCTGTGTTGAGGGAAACAAGGATGATTGAGAATGGAGTTAATGAATAAGTCTTGTAATTTTCAAACATAAAAACTGAGCTGCAAAAATCATCATAGCTACTTTAAACTACATCAAATTTTTCAGAGATGGGTTTGGCAAGCTCATATTACAGTATACTATCACATTCCCTTTTTGCAGCTATGATTGTGTATCGAGTGTTTCGCCATGAAAACAAATTCTTCATCAAGCTGGTTCACTTTGGTCTTCAGCTAGTAGCCTTTGTAATTGCAGTCTTGGGTCTGAAGGCTGTGTTTGATTTCCATAACCATAATGGAATTCCTAATCTCTACAGCCTCCATAGCTGGTGTGGATTGTCGACCATAATTCTCTTCTCTTGTCAGGTCAGTAAGTGATGTGCATGTTGTGAAGCATTTCTACACTCAAACTTTTATTACATTTTAAATTGTTTCTCAATCAAGTTTTTATTTTGCTACCATGAAAGTAGATTTGAGAGATGTAAGTTGAGGAAGCACTGCAGGATAGAATTAATCAAATAAGTTCTGTTTTCGGTGATGTATCTAATCAGGTGATTAAACACATAGAATACCGTATTTACCTGTGTATAATGCACACTTTTTTTCTATAAAAATAACCGTCATATATATATATATTTATATTATTTATAATTTTTAATGAATAATAATCTATTTTTTTAACAAGTAGCTATTACCCTTTAGTATGTTATGTAGCATAAACTCACAGAGGCTGATCACGAAGTGGGCCCCCAAACATTTCATCAAGCTTTGCAGTAGGGGCAGCATTAGAATTTGGTCCCACCCATAATTTACCTAGTGCTCTAAGATTGAAATTCACCATTTTCCCCGCATTTAGGAGCACAAACTATACTTCAGTGACCCAGAAGTTATCACTTTTTAGAACACAGAAACAAGATTTGATGCAGTACCCCAGTGCATAATTAGTTATGTATTAGATCTACATATTTTGCTAATTGAAATTGATGTATTTTATTTTTTAGAAAATATGTGAGGAAAATGTCTTGTAATTCTTTGGTTGAGATTTAGACAGCAGTTCCGCAAAGTTGTCTTAACAGCTGGTCAATTTGTACTGTGCCTGGCCCCTTAAATGAAACTCATTGAAACCCCAAATTCTAATGATAGACTGCTTAACAGAATTATGACTGGCTAAGCAATTTGTCCCATTTGTCTTAATTACTTCAGCTTAACTGAATTGGTCATACCTTCTTTGCCTTTCTCTCCAGCTTCTTTTTGGTTTTGTGAGCTTTCTTTTCCCCAAGCTGCCAGACGGTCTTCGTGCAGCATACCTTAAAGTACATGTGTTCTTTGGTATGTTTATTTTTATGATGGTCATTGGCACAGCGCTCATTGGAATCAACGAGAAGCTTTTCTTCCAGTTGAGCACAAAGTAAGTGAGTCATGGACTGGTCATTCAACCCTTAAACTCCCTTGAGAGACCAAGACAGAATTTCTCCTTACATCATCATTACAATATCAAGCAGAAAAGTGATGAGATCGAATAAGGAAAAAAATTCAATCAGGGAATTATTAGTTGATCTGATACCAAATTCTCCAAACTAACATCATAAAAATTGTTTTTTAAACAATTGTAATCGTTAGTTACAATAAATCTTTGTATGAACCTTTCCATGAAGACATGAGCCTCCTGTATTATTTGGCCCAGCTTTTTCATGAATTTCTATTAGCTTGAGGGTTTTTTAGAGGAACTGGCAAGTAGGTGCTATTGAGGTTGATAATACATGAGCCTTTGGCTCAATTCCTTTCAGAGACTCCCTCTCAATATTTTACTTTTTTCACATTGTTCTTTTTTTTTTTTTTTTGTATTCCATCCTCAAATCCTCTGACTTCATTCTGTGTTGAGAGTGCAGAAAGACAGACTAGTAGTTCATAGTCCTCACAACATTCAAAATAGAATACACACAGTATATATGCTGTAGAACTTGTCAAGAGCTACATGTGACACTGTAGGTAGGGGAAGGGTATATTCTCTCCAAATAGACACAGTACATACAGTATACATGTGGGCACAGTGTTAATTTATGATTTGGGGGTATCATGTTGTAAGGAGAAAATAGATGCTAGTCACTCTTAGGGTTAACCTATTGACTCCAAAAGTGACCAGGTGATGAGCGTAAAGAAAAATGTCACTTGAGGGATTACTAGTTTATCAAATTCCCAAATTCTCCAAACTAATTTCGTTATAGTTAATATTGTAGAGAGTAAGGAGAATTATTGAATGGGGGTTCTTGAGAATGAAAGGGTTAAATCCAAGAGGTTATATGGCTTGGTAATAAAATCAGTTTTGATACTGGTCATGCAGCTAGGCTATCTTATGTACTTTAACAGTAGCCAAGCAATTAGCAAACAGTAGCCAAGCAATTAGCAAATTCTTAGGCTCTTAATTTGAATAACAAATGGAATTGGTAGTATTGATCTGCCAGTGGAATGTGCTTGTTTTTTGTTCTTCCACTGTTTACTTTTCTTCTGACTACACCTTTCATCTTCCTTTCATTGCCAAATTGAGCTGACAGTAAGTTAATTTTTGCAGATATTCCACACTACCTGCTGCGGGGCAACTAGGCAATGTGCTGGGCATCACACTTATCATTTTAGCTGGCACAGTCATGTTTGTGGTGACAAACTCTGCATTCAAGAGGGTTGACACAGATGAAGAACGTGTGTCCTTGATGAATGACAAATAATTTAACAATATTCATTATTTTACAGTGGAGTCTTGTTATCTTGAATCACCAGTATAGAGAATATATGATCACACTTTCAACACATTATCCAACAAAAAGGTAATTGAGAGTGAATAAATATATGAGCTGGAGGCTGTTTGCTTGATACAAAACCAAATTCTCTAACTTCGTTTAAAAAGAGATTCATATTGGCCCGAAGGGAGAATTACTAAATCATGATCAGATCATGGAATAGTTGAATCCACCCCTGAAATGTGTCCTTGTGTGTGTGATGAGAAAAAGGTTAAGATATTAAGGGCTTGAGATATCCAGACTCCACTGCATTGAAAATATTGATTTTAAAAATAATGGTTATTTGAAGGATTGTTTGAGCAGCAAAAGAAAAATAAACTTTACTTAATCCTTTAACTCACAAAAGTGATTAACATGCAACTTCTCCCTAAAATATCTGTACATTTTTCAGCAAACGCATTATGAGAATGTTCAAACTTATTAGGTAGAATTTGTTGTATTGATCTTACACCAAATTCTCATAACCAATTTACAAGGAAATGTGTAGCAGCTGGAGGGGAGAATTAACAATCAGATCTTGGGAGTTAAAGGGTTAAGAGACCAGATAACATGCCTTGAATGGAGTGGTGTTCTGAAAACAGATTTTGCAGTTTGCATTGGGGACCTGTAATAATTGTTACAGTTGTCTGTTCAAGCAGCTCAACAAAATTAAAGAAGCAAAATTGTAACTTTTTCAAATTTTGTGACTTGTTGAGTTATTTAGTGAGGAGCTTCCTGTTTCGTCAACTGGAGAAGTGCATTGTTAGTAAGTTTGAATGAGCAACATTCAAATTGACACATCAAGACTAATAGAAGTATCCACCATTGTATTTGAAAGGATTTTTTTTGGGGGGGGTAGGATTTTTTTTTTTTTACAGATTAAGAGCAATCCCTGAAATTGACAAAAATAAAGCACTGTCAATTTTATCATGCTCCATCGCCATGGTAACAGCTATGTACCCAGTGGATAGTGATGTTTATTGTCTAAACAGTCAGGACCTATGGTGGATAAATTTTAGGTGTATATTAAATTTCCAGTCATAAAAAATTGAGAATACAATTTATTAGTTGCCCATAAATGACTAACCAGGAAATGAAAAACCATCTCATTGAATTCATTGTTTATTTTGTACTTTGTGATGGTCTGCTAGTGCTGATAGTAATGGGTTTAACTCCATGAGTTATCATTATGTGAATGGCATTTTAAGTAATATTTTTCATGCTAATATACGAAAATTGTTTTGTTTACTGAAATGGTTAAAATGAGTGCCATCCCCTGGACAAGAGGCTTGGCCAATTGTTACTTTATTTATCTATTTATTGATGCCTCTAACACATACATTCCATTACAAAGTTGTGGTGTAATTGTCTCTCAGCAATTTCAAGGCTTACAAGTGAAAATTTAAATGTAGTTTCTATAAATGTTCCCATAATTGTTAGCACAAGGTTATATTCTAAAAATTAAGTGTGCCCTTTGAAAGGGCTTGGGAAATCATTTAAGCTCAGAGGGCTCCATTCCTAAAAAAAGGGAATGAGGATGAATAGTTATGATTGTTTTTGCATCAAAAATAAATGAGAACATACTTCCATTACCTCTTCAAATAAATTATATGCAATTTTCTGGACACTAAGATTGAATTATTATGCTTGCCACAGCCTGTTTTAGGCATTTGAGTTGTTTATATATTTACTCTTTTACTCTCAAGTGACCAGCTTCTAATTTCTCCTTACATTAGCATACCTGAGTCAAACATTAAGGTCATGAGAATCTGGGAAATGATTGCCACGTTTTAAAGCTCTTGATTTTTAGACAAATTCTCCTTGTCAGTGAGTGAGGAAATGTCTAGAGTTCAGTATGGAGAATATGCATACTGATGTTCAGATGTAAAGGGTTAAAGGTAGGCCTTGGAATATAATAGTAATAATTATTGTAATATTATTATCATTAGTCAATTATTTTCATGTTGTCTGAAAAGATCTGATTCAGTATCTTAGAATAGAATAAAGATGACATTTGATGTCTAAAAAGGATTTGATGTTGAGTGTCTTGAATCAATTTTGAACTGTTTGTCACTCCTAGGTGAATTTTATTGTGCTCCTGTCAAAATTATTTACCCCAGGTACCATAAACTGCCACTTATAAGACACACCCTCTTATAAGCCCTTATCTAGCTTTTCCTGGTTTTTACAATAAAGCAGGAAGCATCACTGCAGAGAATCATACATAACACATTTAAATATTGGTAACAGGAGAGCAAAAATGGACTTCGAGGGAAAAATTCTGATCTTGTGTTTTGTGCTGTTCCCGTTTTGTTCGTGTTGTTAATTTTGATTCTGTTCCAAGAGTATTGAAATTAATTCGATTCATTGTGATGTTTTGAAGCTTAGTTAAAAACCAGTTTTTTATCAGCACTGCTGTAACTCGTTTCGTAGCACTTTCTATTCCGGATGTAAGCTCCTTCGAATACAAGTCTTTCCGTTTACAAGCCCTCTTAAAAATCCTTACGAAATTGTATAAGCCCAGGGCTTCAGCGGCAGTTTACTTTATCAATAGGCTATAAAACTCTATGCTAGAGCACTGATTAAGATGACTTACCTCAAGTGTTATGCGTGAAAACCTTCCTTGTCATCTGTTACAACGTGAAATTTGATCCAGCGTTGCAAGTGTCACACTCCTTTACATAAATCCGTCACGCAACGTTTCCGACTGCGAAGGAACTGGTGGTTTCCACAATACCTGCTCCACCATATTTTAAAATCAGCATTTACAGAATAGAGAAGTAGTTTCTGGCACCCCAACCAGCCCATTTTGTTTCGTCAGCTGATATAGTTTTATTTTGGGAAATTCAAAACTTTTGAAACCCCCATCTTGAGTGAAAACAGAACAACTTCACAGGCTCGTTAAGTTACCGGGATCCACCCGTGCCCTTGTCCTCCAAAATAAAATAAAACGTGAACTGACCGACATTGCACAGTCTTGGAAGAATTTTTAACATAAAAGCCAGACATACTTCTGTGTCACAGATACTGGACGAGAAAACTTAGCGTCATCATGCTCACAGGGAGGTCTCAATGGGGTTAACCGATTGCCGTCTAGCATAAGATTTGACAAATTTTAAGTAACAGTCGTAAAAATTAATCGTAAAAAAAATTACAGGTGACAACAATGGAACGATATTAACCTTTTTGCCATAAAATCCATCACTCACTGACACCCTTTAACAATATGTGAGATCATTAGCTCTCTTTTGCTAACTTATCATTATATAATCTACACCAAAGTGATCAACATCTCGACGGTAGACAGCTCATGCGGCGAGCCAACTTGAATAGGCAAATATTTCCACGTTGCGCAACGCGTGAAACAAAAAAGATTTGTATGGGAATGAACGGTCGTGCTCTCAACATCACTAAATAGGTCTGGATCAGCTCTGAATAAGGACAAATTTGCCCCGCTCAAGTGGTTGTTCTTTTGCATCGTGTGAATTTCTTGGGCTGATTTAGGGTCATTACGCTCGGTATTAGTTCGTCTGCTTTGCCCTTACATAACGTCTGAGAGTGACTTCATATTTATTAAATGAGGAGGCAGCACCTACCTTACCCCTCCCTACAGGGGGCTATTCGTTGTTTGTCACATGCTTTTTCCTACTTCCGCTGAATGTAAACTTAAAATAATCGACAACACTCAAGTACGGATAAAATTACCGAATTTTCCAAAGTGGCTCTAACAAACGTGCCTTAACCTAAGCTTTAAGCGGCGAAGTGAACAACATTGTAGTATGGCTCCGGATGATCAACATCGCACATCTTCGATGCGTTCTTTGTTTGTGTTCTCCTTATCGGTTGGTGCAGTTATAATTTTAGGGATGTTGGCGATAGCACTGACCGGTACATGGACAGTGAAATACCTCGGAGGATTCGCTTGGGATGGGACAGCTCACGAGTTTAACTACCATCCTCTTTGCATGGTAATCAGCATGGTATTTCTCTATAGCGAAGGTAAGTTTCTTCGCAGCTTAACTGAAGCATTACTGCCGCTTTGTCTCATGTCAGTGGACTACATTGTGTAAGTTTTCGTGCTGTGTTTTGCTCTTGCGATTTACTTCGAAGTCTTACTTTCCTCCTATGTAAATCTTTTTCCTCTGCTTGCCATGAGCCAGTTAAGCCTCTGGCTTTGGCTTGACTGTTGGGAAAAGAACCACTAAATTGATGCAAAAAGTTGTACTCGAAAGCCGGTGTTAATTTTAGATTATTGCATGATTATATTCGCTAATTTTAAATACCCCCGGTGCAGAGGTTACCATGCATGTTGTAATTAACAAGGTAGTCGACTAAAGAGCGCATATTAAGACGGGAGATAGTGCGCACTGCGTGTGTGTGATAATATTCTAGAGAACTTTCCTTTCAAATTTCTTCTTACATACTTGCGTATGTACGTCTAATTTACAGTAATATAAAGCAGGGAATTCCCTTGAGACCTGAAAAGGCTAAACAAAACATACAAACTAAAGAGGTAATTTAGTGTTAACAACTGAGTTGAAAACGTAAATTAGCCACCGTAGAGGGTAAAAAAGCTGATGTTTCGAGCGTTAGCCCTTCGTCAGAGCGGGGCTAACGCTCGAAACGTCAGCTTTTTTACCCTTTACGGTGGCTAATTTACGTTTTCAACTCAGTTGTTAACACTTAATTACCTGCTATACTCTCCCACCAACGCAGCGCCACAGTTTCTTTAGAGACTTACGTCTTTATACAAACTAAAGAGGTCGGTTTATTGAGGAACTCGTGCTTTGTGATGTCACGCAACACTGAGAGATCACTGCGTGACACCACTAAAAACGACCGGGAATGAGACTTCGTGACAAAACGACCTCTTTCAACCGATGATTTCATTGTGGAAGACGTAAATAACTATAGCTCATTACGTTTAATATTTGTAAACCATCAGACATTTCATATTCTTTGCGGTTACTTTTTCGAATATGCAACAGGGGAGTATTTGTGATATGAATGCCCTTAGTGATAAGGGCATATCACTAAGGGCATATCCTTGAAAAGTTGACTCAAGTTGGGAGAGCTTTCCCTAGACGGGACCTAGACGTTTGTAAACGTTTTATCCGATCACGGCAAAAAATGTTCCGATGGCTGAAATAATAACCTCTGTTTGGCTTGAGGCTGTACGTACTCATATCTTTGTCCTTGGACATCATCGTTTTCCTTGAGCTTCGCTCTCGGTAATCTGTGGGCCTCTCAGGACAAAACCTTTTTTGAAATGGGGGGAGAGGGGGAGGTAAATAAAAGGTATAGAAAGAATTCAAAATAAGTAATGCGTGCCGAGACTCTTCCAACTTATTCTAGGTTTATGAAAAAACCTTTGATTAAAAAGCACATTTGCCATTATGAGAAGTTCATCTCGCTACCACGACAATCTAAAGGAGCTCATTAGATTTTGTATCCTTTTGTTCCAGCCATGATTATATTCAGAGTCTTACGTCACCAAAACAAATTCTATGTAAAGCTGGTTCATTTTGGTCTTCAGCTAGTGGCGTTTGGAATCGCAGTCTGGGGTGTTAAGGCTGTGTTTGACTTCCACAACCATATGAGTTATCCTAATCTTTACAGCGTACATAGCTGGTGTGGATTGTCTACTGTCATCCTCTTCGGTTGTCAGGTCAGTTATCCAAAGCCATTTTCTTTCTCCTCATCGAGGCAAAACAGCGGTCGAACGTCTGTGCATGTGCAAACATTCATATGGCCAGGTGGCGGGCTTAGTTAGGGCCAAGTTGTCTTACTGGAATTATAAACAACCACAAAAACCAGTCCGTAACGAAATTTTAAGACCATAAAACATTTTTGTTAAAGCTCAAAACAGAATGGTAAATCGACAGGATACCTTGGCTTAAAGGCCCATTTTCATCCTTAATGCAATGGGCGCCGCGACCCAGTTTCCTGTAACACGAAATAACTCCCAGATTACTGAAAACCTTCTAAAGTCGTCTTTCTCAAAAGCCATCCTGGACATATAGTCAACTGTTGCATGCGGATATATTTTTATCCCTTAAATG